GCCCAACGATAAGGGTATTTGATCGCGTAGCAAAGGCCTTAAGTTCATCCAGCAATAGGGCATCAGATTCAGGATCGGTAGACAGTTAAGATATCGAGGCTTTGGGAACCCGTTGCTCTTACAGTCAACCACACCGCTTCCTTACAAAATAGATGAGCCGTTTTTTTCTGAAACATGCAAACCGTTCTTTACGAAGGTTGCTACACCTCCAGCTTTTCGTCCGACTCTGTCGTTGCGTAACAGTTGAACGCAACCTCTCTATTGTAAATCTGGTCCGACAACCATATTTCTGTTATCGGAATAAAATGTGGAAGGTCGGATACATTGATTCTCAGTTCATCCATTTTTGAAACTAAGCTTTGCGCATTAGTATGTGCGCACGGTTCTTAGCCACGATGCGATGCGGGAGTGGATCCGAAAAAGCAAAGGGAGACCGGAATGGCGACTTCCGGCTTGTTAGACGTTATCAGCCAATCACACCCAATATCAGGTGTTGAAACCCCCGAGATTGGAGCCTGGGACATTTGATCATTGTGATAAGAACTTTACCATTGCACCACGGGATCGTTGCCTTGTGAGTTGTTGTCGTGAATATCACGGAGCTACGGTGTTCACCCGAGCTATCTGATTTGGGCATATACCTGTCCAGATGTGCCTTGACTATCGTAATTGAGTGATTTCAGGCTGTCGCTTAGTTACCTCGGACATAAGTTGGAGCGGATCCGACGAAAGAAAGAGGGACAGCAATGACCATTAGCCGTCATCAGCCAGTCAGACCCAATCTAAAGGGTCACAGTCCCCAAGATACGAACCCGTACCGTTGCACCCCCGAGATTGGAGCCCGAGACATTTGCTCATTGTCATAGCCACTCTACCATTGCACCACGGGATCGTTACCTTGTCGATTGTAATCGTGAATATCATGGAACTGTGGTGTTCGTCCGTGCTATCTGATTAAGGCATATAATTGTCCTGATGTCTCTTGACGATCGTATTTGAGTAATTTCAGGCTGTCACTTAGCGACGTAAGTTGGAGCGGATCCGAAAAAGGGAAAGGAGACCGCAATGGCCATTCCTTGCTTGTTAGCCGTCAGCCTCTACTCATACCCAATCTCAAGGATTGTAACCCCCGAGATTCGATCCCGTGACCATTTGTCATTGCGTTTTAACCATCTGATTAGGACATAAAGGAAGACCACCAATACGCGCCAAACCCTGAGTTACCGTAGCAAGCACCTGCCATTCCACAAACGCACATAGACTACATATCAAAAGGTCACGGGTTCGAACCTTGGGTAGGGCACCACGTGGGATTGGTTATGACTGACTGGTGACGACCAATGAGCCAGAAATGGCTATTCCACTGTCCCTTGTCTTTCCTGGCAGCCCTATCTGCCCGGACTACTAGCCGCTGTGCAGCTGCTAGAGGAGGTCGAGAATGAGGGTCGAGCGGAACGAGTTAGTTCCGTTAGCAATCAGTGAACGAGTAATGCAGATCAGTTTTCCCGTTACTGGGGATCCGAAAGTTGTTGGCGGAACCAGCCTGGCCTAAACTAGGAAAAAAGTCAATCCAATGTGATGTTGTCTACCCTTGACCCCACAATCGAGACCTTTCCGCCTATGAGATAGTCCGCAATTGACTGATTCCAACCCATGTAGCATATGGTTCGCCTATTGTGAAATGGTCACCTTCATACCATGTGAGCTGCATCAGTCATTTTTTTATACATAGGGTACAGTGGGCAGTAACGCTCAGTGACTTCATTTCCGAGTCAGAGATCTAGAGTCAAACCAAACTGATACACGTCTGGCTACACGCAAGCATAACAAACACATTCAGCTAACCAAATAGCACATTGGTAAGCCCCGTCTGTTGACTTAACTATGCACTCTATTCAAATGAATTCTTAGGCCTCAAGCAACTTAGAGGACAAGACCCATAAGATAAAACAATTGTGTTAATCAGTGACTTCTAGTTCGCACTTATCCCACTCTGCCGTCCTATGCGCTATCAAGGGATGCGCACGCTTCTGGTCGTTCGAGACGTTTTTTTAATGTCCAACGTTACCCTAGCCCAGTATATTTAACACCTAGCGAGAGCGATCTTATAATACACAACCTGCGTTCACGCGAAAACCATCTGCAAATGCACACATACCAAAAAATCTCCCGGAACAGCCAAGTTACTTTTGCATGTTCTGTTTTTAAGGCATAAGTGACACTACGTACATCGGTGGAATGGGTATTTAAGATAGCTGAAATGGGATGATTGAACACGATAACGAGTTAACTATGCGATCGGAGTGGGTAAATAAAGAACAACTTACCTATCTAGAACTTAGAATCCATGAAATTTTCGCTACTTATCTGTTTCCGACATACTACCACATTAAATGTTAAGACTGGGCGGGATAAGAGTTCACCTCGTCCAGCCTCGAGCTGACGAACTTAATGATAACAAGTCTCTGTGGGGCCTCGTTAGCGGCTCACTCTTTATACAGTAATCAAGACGTGGTTCGTGGGGGGTGTGAGTTATGAAGGAGG